TAGGAGTGCTGAGAGAGACAGAGAGATTAGCCTTATTAATCTTGTTATTACTATTTTCAGTTGCTTCAAAGAAGTTTTTACAAACTACAAACAAATAAATAATTTAATAAAAGTAAATGGTGGCTCAGTCAAGAAGACGTATATTAATTATAAAGCATATACAATGGTACATGTGCTCTGAGAGGCAATATGTTTAATAGTGGGCTATTATCAGAGCTTAATTTATTTGGTATTTACAGACTCTAGAGAAAGAGAAAATAAATTAACCAACTGCCTGGCTCCAAAGGTCATTGTGGAATTTTTTTTTTTTTTTACAAAATCAGCCGTGGAAGCCAGATCAACACTTTAGCTCTGAAATGAATTTGAATCAATAAGTTGCTGTTATAATTATCTCTCTCTCCCTCTCTGTATATATATATATATATATACACAGTATATAATCCTCTTTCATTTCCTTTCGTAGGTAAAAGATGAGCCCTTGTCTTCTCAGGTGAGTCTCTGTCACTGTTTGATCAATTCAAATTGCTGAATTAAAGTATGAATTTCTTTTAAAAACAGTCAAAAAAAAGCAAAAGTGTACAAAAGTGTAGGTCAAAAGTGTACAGATTTTGCCTGGGTCTGATCTGCAAATTTGCCAACATCTATTTTTCTAACTGATCTCAGGTGAGGGCTCGAAGACAAGCTCCAATCACTCAGCGGCCTGGATCTTACTCAGTCAAAGGATCTCCTAACACACTCATCCAGGTGAGAGAATGCATTCATGTAACACAGTAAAACTTTTCTTTGCTGGCCAAAAAATTAGAGAAAAAAAAGCTCATGTACTTTCTGTTCTGTGCTTAAGACCGACAGGTCGAGGCGAAATTTGAACTCTAGTAAAAAAAAGCCCCACAGATCTCGTATCGGTTCTTACTCATTACTGTCCCATTACCACGCAACCAACCAATTACAGGTGCGTATCCATGACACAATATCATCTTAAAACACAAATAATCAAAGTAATAATATACACAAATTAGAGATCAATAATAGTGCAATTTATCAAGATGTACAGCACCATAGTACAGTGGTAGTAGATAATAATACCATGGTGCACTCTTAAAGTTTTTTTTTTTAAATAATCTTTCTATGAAAGGTTCTTTGTTTAGTATGTACAGTAGAGTATGTTTTCAAAACAACCCCCCCCCCCCCCCCCCCCCAATAAAAAAAAGAATATAAATAAATAAAAATAAAATAAGAAACTCTCTGGATCTCCATGACAGGTTGTAAGTGTTCATAGACAGTTTGAGGGTGCATTCCATCCCAAAGTGGCTGCATTAAAGGTGAGTTCTCTTAAACATAAATATGTCTGACAATTTAGTGTCAAATGGTGCAAGTACAGCTCTGTTTCTATTTTAGTCTGTAAAGAAGAGATCCAGAAGAAATTCACCAAAGAAAGAAGAATGCAAGGACTAACACATGCTCCTGGGAGGTTCTTTGAAGCACTTACTGAAGCTGTACTTCCTGTTAATGTTCTAGCTCATCTGAGGCAATGTACTTGTAAGAGTGCTGTGAGATCACAGATTATGTGCAGATAATGTGATCACAATTAATGACAATAACTGGACAGTCCCACATTAAAATTTCTCAAATACACAAAAATGACTTCAATATAAACATATATACAGCATACTAAGCTTTAAAACCTACATAATACCCATTTAGAAGAAAGTTTATAGTTTAATTATCTTTTGCTAATACAATTCTGAGCAATGTTGAACTAAGTTATATAAATCTCTATACACTGCTTGAACAAATATTTCTCAAAATCTTTTGTAGATTTCTGATTAAATAAACTTTAATTTGGATGGTCTGAACTATTTCACATAAAATATATTTAATTAAGAAAAAGAAAAGCCCTGAAATAGCATTTAATCATTAAACATTTCATAATGTTTAAAAAAAAAAAAGTCTATTCACTGACCGTCTGTTGCATATTGCACATGCTGAAAAGCACTTTCCAGATCTGGCAAGCTCTAATCTGATTGGCTGGATTTGGCTTCTGGGAGTCAGTGTGGACAGCTTATTTTATCAGTCTGCCTGGAATCAAATCTGTGGTTTATAGCTTTAGATGTTGGTCAAACAATGGTTTCCTATCTAAGTGGGTGAATTTTGGCCAAATGCACTGCAAAGTGTAGCAGATATGTCTGGCTATGCAAGACCAGCCAGTATGCATGCAGACTACCAGAGCACTTTGGCACAGAGATTGGTGAGGCCATATTAGAAAGGAAACACTCAGACTTCGTCCATAGCTACAGAAGGCCCATTGTTGTCTGTGTGTGCATGTGTCTAAGTAACCAAAATACCAGTCCACCTGTGCATAGAATAGTTCCAGTTTTGAAGGAGGGACTGACAAAATGCACTGGCCTAATGCCTGAGTAATCCAACCGACATAACACACATACACACAAGTGCTTTTATAAACACCAGATTTTAGGATGTCTAAACAAGACGTGATGATGTGGGAAGCAAATTCTGGGTGGTAGCCATGCCATGGACACATGGAAAGCGGCAACATTTTAACACACACATTTTTCACACCTGTCTACTTAAGTCTGGTGAATAGTGGCATCACCCATGTGTGAAAGAAGAAGAGAAAAGTTAGTTAAGAAAAAAACAGTAATATTTCAATGAACTGTGCTCTATAATGTGCTGTATTCTCATTTAAAAAGCAGGCACGTTTGATTACATACTTAAAATTAAAAGGAAAACATTATACACATGAATTTACAAAAAATAATATTTTATCTACATTAAATTTGATTTGTAAGGCAGATGCTGGTGTTAAAGTACAGTCGCTCAGTCAATTAAGTATGCCATACATTTTTCATACATTTTCTTTCTATTGTTTACATACTTGTGATTTCCCATAATGCATTTCTCATTATTTATTTTAGATTAGCAGCTGGAATTCTTTGAGTATGATTAATCGCTTATTTCTTTTTCTTTGACTTGGTCATTTAAGATCTAATAGTTGTTTTTCTAACACAGACAGAGAGCCTTTATACGTTTTCAGGAAATAATTGGAAGTTATGTGTCTGGCTGATTTGAGGTGAATCAGAGTTTAGCTTGGGCTCGTCTCCGTTGGTCTCGGAGCTCTAGGAGAGCAATAGTGGACAAATGAACCTCATCAGGTCCGTCAGCTATGCGTAGTGTTCGTGCATAAGCATACCAATATGAACATATAACCACACAAAAAAGGTTTTAATATGTAATCAAAATTAATGTTACTAAAATCCTCAAATAGCTGACAAATATAAAATGGATGAAAAAGGTTGTTATTTCATGCCATATAATAATAATAATAATAATAATAATAATAATAATAATAATAATAATAATAATAATAATAATAATAATTTATATTGTCATTATTAACTAATAATAAAATTATACTACAAATTCTAATATATTTATGGTATTTACAGTTATTATACATCACACCTATAATAATAATATAATTTATTATTGATAAATAATATAATTATATTGCTAATTTTGATATAATAAGGTTTTTACATTTATTATACATATATCATATCAATAAAGAAGAAGATTAAATTAACAGTATTTATAATTGTTTTATTGTTATTAATAATAATAATATTACTACACAAATACTAGTGCAATTACTATTAATGTTATTTATAATAATAATAATAATAATAATAATAATAATGGTAACACTTTAGTATAGGGACCAATTCTCACTATTAACTAGTTGTTCATTAGCATGCCTATTATTACCATATTGGCTGTTTATTCTGCATGACATCTACATCCCTAATCCTACCCAATGGAAAAGCATGGTAGTTGTAACACATTCAAGTCTTACATTTCAGCAAATACTGTATAATGTAGCGAAATGATCAGGAAAAATATAATAATAATAGTTTTCTCACATTTCTACTAGTGGGAAGTCATCAGACACTCCTGCACCCCCATGGCACAGTCCACCACCTTACTCGCCATCCTGACTGCTGCCACCTTTATCATAGCAATCTAATGAAGACAAAAACTAGGACAAGATGTTCAGTAAACGTGGGTGGCAGATCTGTGTGTTTGTTTTGGTTAGGTCCTTCATTTGAGAGAGATCTAATGAAAAAGCACCACACTGGGATTTTACAGGCAACAGCATCTCCACAGGAACATGCAGTAAAAGCTAATAAGATTCCATTTCACTAATGTAATCTTCGGATGTTTCATACAATTTCAAACGCAAGAATCAGAACACAAGAAAACAGGCAAGGCAAGACTATGACTAGACTATGGTAACTAGAACTAGAAACTTTGACAGGGAACTAACTGGCTTCGTAAAGTAGCTATCACTTGGAGAGCAATAAACGCTAGACAATACACGGCCCTTCGAGTGAGTCTGAGTGAGTGTAATATAGTGTGTGTGTGTGATTGGTTACAGCTCTGTGCAATCACTGCAATGGATGATGGGAAATGTAGTCTGTGGTGACGTGTAACACTCTGTGTAGTGAGAGAGTCAATATAATGGACGAGTGACCTCTGGTGGCGATCGGACGGAAGTCCATGGAAAGAATTTGTAACAGTATGCATCCAACAAGACATTTAATTTTAAATACACAGACATGAGAGGATGAATATGAGATTTGCAATCTCGTTTGCTCATCTGCTGGAGGACTGGGCCTCATCACAGACCAAACTTCTGCTCATGTGCACAATGTGTGTATTATTCAGAAACAGGCCAAACACGGTGATGGTGTGTATGTATACACTTTTAAAACCTCCTCAACTGATGTGCTTAAGGTGTGTGGATTTATCCAAACCCAAAATATGAATCAAATACAAGGTGTTGGTTCAGCAATGAAGAAACAGCAGGGAGGCTAACGTTAACAGAACTGCTGCAAGAATCTGATTCCTCCATTTTTTTGTGAAAGCCTGATGCTGTGTTACCATGACAACTGCCAGCAGGATATGGAGCCTTGGTATTCTAGCTCATAGACATAATAAATACCTAGACGCCTCATTGGCCGCTCGACCGCACGTCAACGTCGCCGCCATATTGGTGAAGGCAACTCTCATATCGGGACAGGCGAAAACATATCTGACTCGTCGGCAGCTTGGGCATCTACAAACCGTTGCACAATAATAAAAACAGACCTCGGGGTATTATCTTTCACAGGTAAGACTAAACAGTTGTATCTGTATGTTTTTTGGTCATTTTTAGCTTTATGTTGACAGCTTAATTAGCCACCGGTGTCAGACTATAAATAGCTAGCGATATCGCTAATAAGCTGTGAAAGCTGAGATTTTATATGAAATCAAAGTTTAAATGAATTCTTAAGTTTTAATTTTAATATTGTAGTATATCATAAAGTAAATTGTGTTATGAGCACAATATGTACAGTGAGCACTTTGACAAGACAATGCCAGACTGTCAGGATTAGGGATGGAGCTCAATTATCTCTCTTTAATTTCACTAATGTTACTTATTTACGAAGAGTAAGTTTATCATCACTTGATTATAAGGATTGCATAGTTTATCATAAATCTGTGGATTTATTGTGTATATATATATTCTCCCTTTTTAGCCAATTGCAAACAGGACAACGCAAGCCTTAAGGAAAGCTGAAGAAAGCCTGTTCTCTGCATTTCCAAGAGAGTAGGCTATACTTCCACAGCCTAATGTTGTATTAGAACTAGTTAAAACCTACAATAGCCCTGAATGAATCACCCTTGATATTACATATTCTACTTGCTATTATTCATCTATTGTTATTCATTTAATTTATTTTGGTATTATACATACAATTTATTCTATTATAAATCTATTATATGCCGTTGTACTCGCTTTTTATATTATTCACTTTACTACAACTTGTACTACATATACTTTTTAATATTACATATCACTTTTACTGTGCACTGTATCAGTGCATAATATTTTACCGCTGTAACTGTACGTTTTACTGGATCCATAAAGGATTATCAGTTGCATTTGTTATTGTTTTTGTTGTGGAGTTTATCTGTATAGAGTGCTATCAAAATAAAAAGCAGACTACCAAGAGTGTCCCTTTTTGATTTGTATTCGCTGGTTTTATTAAATTTTCTCAATGATGGTAAATTATTAGTGTTTAAAGATGTATTATTTTGATTTTCTTCCAGTATTTCAAAGGGAGTGAGCTGTGTTCTGACCTAAAATGTTGGGGTTGAAGACAGAGAAAGCAATGAAACAACTTAATTTCATTTCATGTACATTCAAATGACAAAACATGTATATGTCAGTTATACTACATTAACATTAGAATTGTAAACCGAAAAAATCAATCAAATCAACAAGTGAGACAAGTGTGAGTTTTCACAATTTCTTACAAAAATTAATAATTTTCCAAACCTAACTAAATAACTGGAGGCAGAGTTATTTTTAACTCCATGTATATCACAAACCTCTGAAATCGGTTGATAAATGTAAACGTTATCGTGTTTTTATCCAGAAAAAAATGCAGCTCCCCCATTTACCTCCATTTATTTTTAAGGCAGTCTTGCCTTCACAAACATGGTGGATGCGTTGACCTATCGCAGCAACGGCTCAAAGCGGCCAATGAGGCGTCTAGGTATTTATTATGTCTATGTTCTAGCTGACCCTAGGGAACTGCATTGTGGGTAAAAGGCCCCTACCACGACTGGAATGGAACATATGGTGAACGGTGATAAGTATGTGTTATTGGACAGAGTTCAGGCCTGGAAGGAAGATTTGGAAAAAGGCATGTGCATGTGTTTATTAATGAGCAAATACCATGATTTTTTTCATTAATACAGTAAATAAAGATGTTTACAGACCCAATGGATTTTTTTTTTTTTTACAATCTCGGTGTTGACATATTTCCTACTGAAAAGTCTGAGTGGGAAGCGTTATTTTTTTTTATTTTCTTTTTTACTTGCTCTGTGCTCTGTTTATTTATAGTCAACTTTTAGGGGTACATTAACACTGGCATAGGCACCATTTTATGTTTCTGCTGGTGGGTGTGATGGTGCGCTCGGTGAAGAATTCAGTTTGCAAACAGAAACACACGGACTGCAAAATACATTCACACTAAATAAAACCAAATAATCCACACATAAGATGAAATCAACAGATACAAGAAGTATTCCATGAAGCCCATGTGCAATAATGTTTACTCTAACTGTATAGAGATTTTCATTTCATAGAGATGGAGGAAATTAACAAATATCCTGCTCATTTTTCCGATAGCATAGTCTGCTGCCACATAAAACTCCATGTGATTGCCTAAATATGAGGTACTGATAATGAAAACTGCTCAAACACAGTTTTATCCAGGCCTGGTTCCAGAATTATATACTGAGGTTGCTTCAGAAATTAGCGAGTGAACCAAAACTTTTAGAGAATACAAAATTTGAATGAGAAAATGGAACAGTTTTTGAGGGAAAACAAATGTTTTGCCAGAGAATACAAATGTATTGAAATATACCTTGCATTTGTTGTATTTTTTCCATCATATTGACCCCTTTGGCTCTGTACCAAAGACCCTCAAAAATGGTGACCTCTTCTCAAAATAATTAATTTTATAAAAATATATTTTATGTAATAACATATATTTATATATTAATGTATAAAATAATGTATTCTAATGCACTCTCAGGAAAGAAAGGTGCATAAGCTGTCACTGGGGCGCTACCTTTTCAGTTTTTGTACCTTTTTTCTGAGAGTGTGTATTTATACTGTGTGAGAAAATTGATTAAATCATTAGAAATTATATTGTCATTGACTGTGATAAATCACAATCTCATGATTTGGTGAAAGTAAAATAATAATAAAATAATTTTAAATATTGTGGGTAAAAGGCCCCTTGCCACAGCTGCAATGGAACACAGGGTGGATGATGAAAATTGTGTGTACAAGGAGAGAGTTCAGAGCTGGAAGGAAGATTTGGAACAATATTAATTCTTAAAGCTTTCTAGCAATAATTTCTATGACTTTTTAATTATTACAGTAAATAAGGATGTTTACAGATGCCATGGAATCTCTTGAAGAGCTCAGTGTTGATTTATTTCCTCGAGAGAAGGGTTTTTTAAAATAGCCAAGTTAGTTACATCACAACTGTGGAAATGATTTCCTACTTGCTTGGTATATATTTTATGTATATTATATGTTTATATTTTAATGTCTAAAAAAATTATTGTATTAAAAGAAATTTAGTCAAAGTAAAATAAATTAAAATAATAAAACATTTTAATATTGTAAATGTTAGTATATGTAATTTGCAATATCTTATCAACACACGTGAAATTGAAAAGCTCAAAAAAGAATATTTCGATCTGTTCACAGATTCCTTTGCATCCCCTTCAGACACTTGGACCCCAGGTTTAAAGCACTTGCACTACCATTAAGGCAGTGGTTCTTTAAAGTGTGGGGCACGGTCACCAGGGGGGCCTCAGATTTCGGTTCTACAGGGAGGAGCGACCAAAAACGTTTAAAGGGGTCATATGATGCTGCTAAAAAGAACATTACTTTGTGTATTTGGTGTAATGAAATGTGTTTATGCGGTTTAAAGTTCAAAAAACACATTATTTTCCACATACTGTACATTATTGTTTCTCCTCTATGCCCCGCCTTTTTGAAACGCGTCGATTTTTACAAAGCTCATCGGTCTGAAAAAAGCGAGGTGTGTTGTGATTGGCCAGCTATCCAATGCGTTGTGATTGGCCGAATACCTCAAGCGTGAGATGGAAATGTTACGCCCCTCACATACTGTTGATGATGCCGTGTCCGGACGGAGCGATGAGACAAAAACATTAAAACCCATTACAAACGAGGCATTTGTTGCATCCAGTGGGGACATAATTACTGATTATAATGACTTATACTGTCTTTTTACGTGTTGCTTTGCATTGCATCACGCTGCATAAACATAAAACTCTGTCTGCATTTGTGATCAGAGAAATAACAAAACTGAGGCCGGGATAGAGTGAGCTGGCGCCCAGCGGATGCGACAAATGAGCGGCAACCACATGTGATGGACTCCTGGCTGGACTCCGCTTTGTCCACGGTGAAAGTTCATGTATTCCCTCAGCGACCAGCACAGATCAGCTCTAGGCATGACGAAGTGGATATCGTCCTCTTTTGGAAGACCAATTTTATGCATCAATATGACTCTTTCCTAATAAAACATTTTCAGTGATATTCCCAGGTTTTCTATGAGTGTAAAGTGATTAGGGTCATCTATCCATGTGTCAAAATAGAGAGCGCCTACTGCTCTCTGGGGTTGGAACATACCATGTGAACATATCACTCCCACAGACATCTGTTGACACGAAGTGACAGAAAGAGAGGGGGGTTCTGAGATTAACTGCAGAATTGTCTATTTGGTGTGTGTGTGTGTGTGTGTGCCTCAGCTTGCAGGGAATGTTCTCATAACTTTGGCTAACATTCCGTACAGGTTTGGTTGATGTTTTAGAGAAAACATTTGAATGTAATGTTTAAAAAATGTTTGAGATTAAGAATGTTTGCATGTTAATGTTCCTAAAACGTTAAGTGTAAACAAAGCTAAAACATTTTACCTGCAACATTTTGAGGATGTTGTTGATGTAACAGATTATATAATGTTCTCAATAAAACATTGGCATAATGTTTCAAGATAACAAAGAAAGAACATTCTCTCAGCCGCATTAGGAAAATATTATAAGAACATCATTGAGGCCAGAGGTGATGGAATATTTGTATAAAACATTCTTGTAATGTGAAATATTAACAAAGCTAGAACATTTTATCTGCAACATTTTGAGGATGTTTTGAGGATGTTGTTGAGGTAACAGATTATATAATATTCTCAATAAATCATTGGCACAATGTTTCAAGATGACAAAGAAAGAACATTCTCTCAGCCACATTAGGAGAACATTATAAGAACATCGTTGAGGCCAGAGGTGATGGAATATTCTTGTAAAACATTCTTGTAATGTGAATATTAACAAAGCTAGAACATTTCATCTGCAACATTTTGAGGATGTTGTTGAGGTAACAGATTATATAGTGTTCTCAATGAAACATAGGCATACTGTTTCAAGATAACAAAGGAAGAACATTCTCTCAGCCACATTAGGAGAACGTTATAGGAACATCACTGAGACTTGAGATTGTGTAATGTTTTTATAAAACGTTCTTGTAATGTGACGTATTAACAAAGCTAGAACATTTTATCTGCAACATTTTAAAGATGTTTTGTGGATGTTGTTGGGGTAACAGATTATATAGGGGGAGACCTGGTATGGTTGTAACACTTGTTGTTTCAACATCTGTTACTCGCTGAATTTTTGAGCTAGAGTGCTCAAATGTTTATACAAAGTACCCACATTTGTTCACTACAAAAGCCACCAATTCAAACCTCTGCAAGTATATCACAGCCCTTATAAGTCGATGTCAAATACATGGAGTGCCTTTGTTACAATCTACCCCGCTACCGGGGTAGGTTGTAACACATACTGGGGAGAGTTGTAACAGTCAAAAGAAGCAAAAACAGCAGCCACCTCATAAAGTCTGCTTCAAAAACAAGTTTATTGAAACAATCTAAAAGAACTATACAAAACAATGTCACACTTTCTACGAATGATCACAGCTCAAATCCACTTTCTGTTTGATGCGGGAATTCAGCATAGCATTAGTTCAGGCAGGCCACGTCAGTC